TACTTTCGTTTGCCAAATGAGAGGTTCATAAATTAAGAATGTTATTTTAGCTAATCTATTCTCTTAGATTTGGAGTATGCTCAATGCGTAGTTTAAAATTGCACTGCACGAACAAACAATTGTACAAATTTTACCGAAAACGTTTTTACGACATTACAAACTTATGATTCCGTTACAGTTTCAGTAGAAGAGATATTCGAGAATCGTATATATCGTTCTGCATAAAATTTGCAAATTGTACGCCGTACAGCGTGCATTACTATTATTGTCCATCCACGAGATTCAGCGAATGTGTGGGCAACCGAATTGATTTCTGCATCGCGCGTGGATGTATTGTTCGCGTGATATAATACGGGTTACATGTACACATTTCTCACGCAAGTGTGAAACAAATCGCGCTGCTTCATTTAAAGCCCGTTTCATTCGATAGTAGAATGTGAACCTCGCGAATAAACGTGGACCATCCGTTTCAGCCGATCAATTGGAAATTTCTACGTTGTAATAATGATATTACAAGAAAGAACGTTTTGCGTAGATCCAATTAAAATTTAATCGAACGATGGCCTCAAGTGGCCTCGGATGGATGTAAAGTCATTGTTTCGTTCCGTTGTGGACTTGTTTTTTTTTTTCTTTTTTTCTTTTTTTTTTTTTTTTTTTTTTTTTTTTTTTTTTTTGAACGAATGAATTATATTATTACGCGTTAAGGATTAAGAAATGATTATAACAACTATTATATCGGGGATAATAAGGAAACGAAAGAGAGAATTGTATAATACTGTGGGGATAATATTGTGAACAAATTTTTAGACACTCAGGATTTAGCGTTCCTCGCATGTTGTAATATGTAATCTGTAAACAAAAGCGCTACGTTTTTTATCGCCGTCCATGAGAGAGATTTGCGGGAAAATAAAGGGAAATAGAGGCTCATCTGTGGTCACATATGCAATATGTACGACACAAATGCAGAGACGATAAAGCACAATATTAAATCGAACTTCAACGTAGTAGCGACGAAAATTATACGAGCTATATCGCATCGTATAGACGTTGAAGAGGAGAAATCGCAAAGCTCGTCGCGTTATTGCGACAAACTTTTTAGAACGTTTAAAAAAAGGAAGACAAGAGGAAGATTATCTAAATGAAATAGTCAATACGTTGAATCATTGTGATACCGAGTGGAGAAGACGCAAAGTAGTGAATGCTGTGGTTTGCGCGAGTCATCGAAGTCAGTTGGATTTAATAAAATACGTCTTTCTTTCATCTGCCAATCTAGGAGGCGAGGATTTTGAATATTTGAACGAATCGATCGAAATAAGATACGATAGACGAGAGTTCAATTACAAGGAGAAACGACCAACGTGATTCATACACACAGTCGCGATGAAAATAGAAAATTTGAGCAACTCTCTGACTTCGTTCTCGTTTTCTCCCAGTATTGACTAGTTATCTATTACACATTCGAATACCGCACATCAATATAGCTATTATCGTTAATTTTTTTAATAGAAAGAACAAAAAAAAAAAAGAAATCATATAATGACGCACAGAAAACAATGAACTACGCATAATAAGAGAGTTAATAAGTTTAAGATGGAGTACGTTTCCACCGTTCTTGTTCTAGATAATGATGAAAAAATATATATACATATATATGTATATATGTACAATATATATATATAAATATATGTACATATATTTTGAAAATAAAGAACAAAATGAAGAACGAAAATTCCTCCCCAATGATAGTTATATACGAGAGATGCTGACATATATACATTGTATATGTAAAAAAAACAAATATGTATGTATGCTACATACGCGTGCATGTGTTATACGTATATATATATATATATATATATATATATAAAATGATAATCCATTTCTCTCTATGCGTATACGCGATGTGGGCGTATGTATATTTTTTTTGTTGGACGTATGCGCGTGAATGTGTGTGTATAAAATGTGCGTGTCGCTACTTGTGCAGGTCACTGTATGGAGAACACAATTGATAATAAATTATGGACACATATTTACAAAAAAAAAAAAAAAAAAAAAAAAAAAAAAAAAAAAAAAAAAAAAAAAAAAAAGGAAAAAAAAAGAGAAAAAAATAAAAAAGAATCGTCT